ACCTAGAAAACCTGTACATCAACCAGGGAGCTGCTGGTGGGAAACAATCACCAATGTTGATTGAAACAATCACCAAGAGGAGTCCCAGCACCGCCAGAGAATTGCTGCTGGTGGTACCAAGAGCATCCTTTGCAATGCTGTTGGAAGTGGCGTCTTCTTTGTGTAGGTAAACCAAGAAACGGGACACGTGAGTTAATTTTTTCTGAGCTGAAGGAAACTTAAATCTGCCTCCCAGCCTTGGAAGAGTGGCATGACTGTGGGGATGGGGTACGGCAATCCCCCCAGTCCAAACTGGGCTGATGCTCAGGAGAGAAATAAGGTTCACAGGCCAGGAGGCTCATGGAGGGGCGTCCAGCCTCGGCAGAGGGTCCCTGTGACCCACTGGAGGGACTGATGGGTCCACCCTGGGGGATTCATAGCACAGCTTCGGGCAGCCCCTGGGACCCCGGAGTGCTTCGACCATCCTTTCCTTGGTTCCCTTAAATAATTATTTTCCTTTCATGTTGACCTGAGATTTTTATGCAGTGACAGGGCAGAGAAAATATTTTAAATGTGGAATAAGGTATTTATACTCCTTTCTGGCTTGGCTGTGAGACAGAAGGACAGATGTGGGCTTGGAAACGATGTCATTTTTGTTCTGTCATTTTTGGACCTCCCTTAGAAACCGCGGCAGAGTTTATAGGAAAGTGTAAAGCTGCTTTACTTACTTTTTAATTTCAGATGATTGTTTTGGATGGTATTTGAAATGCCTCATCTCTTTCGAACCGCTTGGTCAGTAGGGTACAAATTGGGAGAGGATTTTTTGGAGGACAGCTGTGTGTTTTTGTTTGGCTGGGTGGCTTTCGGGTGGCAGAGGAGGAGCCGTATGTGCCAGCAGCGCGGGCTGTGCTGCAGGCAGCCACGGAGCGGTACCCAGGCAGGCAGCGGGGTGTGATGCCTCGAGGTGTTGCCTCTAAATAGCAGCAAACTGTGTTTGCACAACGGGCAGTTTTTTGGTGTTTTGCTGAAGGTGAGAGTAGTAGTACAGTTCGGTTGTAAGAAAACCATCTTTTCCAACTATTTTTTTGAGGAGGAAATGTGCTTCTTGGGGATGTTGTTATTGCTCTAAAACTGTGGCTTTCCTGTAACGTTGCAGCACTGAGCTTCCTATGAGGTTTTGCTGTAGATCCTTTTCAAAACCAGACTGAAACCACATCAGAATCAGGAAATATTTAAGAGTTGCTCCTCTGTCTGTGGGTCCTTGCTGACTGTCTGGTGTTAATCTTAGCAAATGATTCATTGAGATAGCTCTGAATCTTCAAATGAATTGCGCTGCTGTGTAGTAACCCTCCAGGATAATATGTTTGCTTCTGTATGGCGTAATGCAGGTTTATCTTAACAGGAAGAAAAAAAAAAAAAAAGAAAAACAAATGAATTGGTGTCAGGCAAACCCTTAGATGTGGGAGAGTTGGAAGAGATGCAGAAATGAAGGCCTGGAGCAGCTGCCCGATTCGGCAAGGACTGAACCAGGCCAGAAATGTAGTCCTGTCTTAGAGTTGGCTATAAGAGACACCAGATACATGGCAATTGAAGAGGTGATGTCTATGGACCGGGCTGTGTCCTGGCATGCTGGGGCTGAGGAGGCTGGGCTGGCCTTTGGGAGGGGGAGAGGAAGGGGCACGGCACAGCCGGCAGCTGCCTGCAGGCACCTACGGAGGTGATGGGTTCAGCTCTTCTTGGCAGCAGCAGTGACCAAACACGGGGCAGCAACCACAGTTTGTGGCTTGGGACATTTGGGCTGGATATGGGTAGAAAGTCCTTCCTTGGGGGGCGATGGTCTCCATCCTAGGTTGCCTTCAACCAGCTGCTTACCTGTGGCCCCTGGGCACCGCTGCTTGGCACCAGGATTCAGTTTTAGGGATGGAAATTGCTTTCTTGGTGAGCAGCATAGAAGAATGGGGAAAAAAAAAAGAGTGCCTTGCACCCCCGCAGAGCTGGGTGTAGCAAACCCTTTCCCTTTGGAGAGGGGAGCTGGAATTTAGGAGGCTCTGATAATAGTAAGGAGGGAGAAGAAAAAAAAGGCTCGTGCCTGGCTCCAAATGGCTCGTGAGGCTTCCCTAGGCTTTCAAGTGTTGTGTTATTGCCCACGATCCGGATTGTGGCCACACTCCAAGCACTGATCTTTCAGCAGCCGTTACCTGTTTTATACATAAACTGGCTTTCTGTGCCAGTTACAGCTGACATCTTACTAAAACCTACTGTGAATGAGCATAAAACCTTGTTACATCGTTTTTAACATCATAAAACATCATTACATCATTTTATGACGGTAAGACATCAGCATGGGTACAGCAAAGTGCAATGGTTTCTGCCTGGGTCAGAGCCACTTGGTTTCAACTCCGATATAACAGAGATCAGAAACTGAGCAGTTTGACTGACGCCACCATTTACCAGTCCTTGTGATTTTAGTACAATATTGCTTGGCCACAGCCACAGCCCCCAAAGACAAGGGGTTAGGTGAGAATTTCTGCTCTTATCATGGAAAAAGCAAGTCTTTATTCTCCATTTTGCATCTTGGAAAATTTGAAAACATGAGCCAAGGGTGCCTACAGACTCAAAAGGCAGTAGGGGAGTGTACAGTTTTAGTTTCTTTCTTTTAAATTCTGTTTGGTGAATGGTGAGGCCAAGCTGGTAGTTGCTGGTTGTTCAGGTTGTCTTTATGCTTGAAATCGTTTGTCTTCCTTGGGCGTGTGGATTTCCTGTTTCACCCCAACCCACTTTTTATTCATAAAACAAGCCCGGGTTCAAGACTCCCTTGTTTCATGCAGAATTTCTGATTCCAAGGCAGGACCGTGTGTGTGGAGGAGCGGTGAAGGGTGTCTTTAATGTTATTCTGTACCAGAACAGAGTAATCATGTTGGAAGTTAGGGTTCTTGAGATTTGTCTTGGGTCTGTAGCAGCATCAGCACAAACTCCAGACCAGTCTACCATGCTTGTTTTCACAAGCTTAGATCTACTCAAGTGAGCAATCTTTCCCCATTGCTCTCTGAGTATAGATAACTGCCGTACACATTCATGCATAATATGAATGGTAAAGTGATGAATTCATTAACATTTCACAGAAATGCCTGTTTCCTCTCCTCTGGCACAGAAGAAAATAGTGTCTTCATGCCTGTAGAAAAGTCGGGCTGGATCCTGCCCTCCACTACCCTCCTCCTGCCCTGCTCCATGCAGGGCCGTGGGGTTAGTGATGACCTGCACGTACGGAGGAGAGCAAAGCAACCTCCCCGTGTGATATATGCCAGTGAGCGTGCAGTTAGCAGAGCACAAGCCAAGCAGACAGGGTTAATAAGTCCAGATCATCCATGGCCAATGTTTTTTCCTGCAGATCCCTGTGCTCATGGGCTTCCTGCTCCACTGGGATGGACAGATGCCCTGCTGGGATAGATGGATGCCTTGCCGGTGCCACTGCGAGCCCTCCACCTCCTGCCCAAGCACGTCCCTCAGCAGTGGCCAGTGCTAGAGGTCGATGGCCATCCATAACTAAAATGTCTGGCAATGGGTGGTGGAAATGGAGAGCGATTCTGCTCTGTCCCCACTGCACCAGGGTACTCGGGGCCAGGAGATGCTCACTTCCAAGGTTTGAACCTCAAAGAGCCTTCTCTTTGCAAAAATGAGGTAGTGTTCAGAAAAGTAAGTAGGAAGCAGAAAATCATAGAACAGCCCAGCTTGGAAGGGACCTTGAAAGATACCTGGTCCAACCTTTTGTGGGAAGGAGAGCCTCGATGAGATTATCTAGTGCCCTGTCCAATCGCATCTGGAAAACCTCCAGTCATGGGGACTCTACCATGTCACTGAGGAGGTTGTTCCAGTGAATGATGGTTCTCACTGTAAAAAATTTCTTTCTTATGTCAAGATAAAATCTCACTCGGTGCAGCTTGTATCTGTTGCCCCTTGTCTTTTCCATGTGGCACCTGTTGAAGAGAGAACCTCTGTCCTCTTTGTAGCTGCCCTTTAAGTACTGGAACACTGTCATGAGGTGTCCCCCCCGAGCCTTCTCTTCTCCAGCAACAAAAGACGTAACTCCTTCTGCCTTTCCTCACAGGGCAGGTTCTGCAGCCCTTTGATCATCTTTGTGGCCCTCATTTGGACCCTCTCCAGTCTGTCTGAATTGTGGGGTCAAGCCAATGTCATTCCTGTCTTACACTGCTGTGATGCATTTTGTACGAGCTTGTTAAAACAAGCACCCCTGGAGAAAGCCGTGCCTGAGAGCAGATTTAGGATGAGCCTTGCTGCTTGCCAGGAGAGCTTGCTTCTGCTCGCTGATTGTGAAGGGGGCTGGGGAACTGGTCTAGCTGTGATGTCTGTGGGATGCTGGAGTTTGGGTGTGCGGCTCCTGTGCAGTCGGTCTGCTGGCCACATTCCCGTGGCTCTCCAGCTACATCATCTCCTTACCGTAGTAAGAACATCTGGACAAAATGATTTATAGACTCTCTCCCTTGATAGCGTTGGCTGTATTTTATGTCTCAGCAATTTTCTGTATTGCTGAACTATTATTCATGAGCAGATTTTGTGGCAAGGCCTTTCCCAGACTTCAGCCCTGTTGAATGTATGGCTGGGTCCTCACCTATCCTTCTTTCCTTCTTTTTACCTGCTCCCTCTTCCAGTTTTACTCTGGTTCTGTTGGCTTCATGTCCCAGGGCCATGCCTTGATTTGTGAGCTTGTCACTGCCAGCTCTTACAAGGTGGGCTGTGCCAACCTTGCTTTGTCTGGGGACCTCAAAGGCCAGGCTGGGTCACTGCATGGAACATGACTTGGTGGCTGCCTCTTGTTCCTCAGAGCTATCATGTTATTTGGGTGGTGAGGACAGCAGAGGTGGTTGGCTCAGTGGCCTCAGCAGGGCTTCTCAGGTATCTAACCATGCTCAAGAAAACATTTTGGACTTCTGTCATAAGTCGTGGCTTTATATTTTTTCATTCAAGTGGTTTATTTACTGACATCCCTTTCTTCTTTCTTGCAGGCTCCACATCTGTTTGTTACAAGCCTACCAGCCCAGTCCAGGTACTGGAAGACACTGGCTTTCTTTACCAGGATCACCAGTTGTTTGCTGGCAGGCATGAAGTTTCTCCACTAACAGCTGAAGCAATCAGTGCCAAAGAAAAAGCTGGTAAGTGGGTGGCCACACTTCCATACAAACCCACTGCATTTACTTCCAGGTTTTTCCTGAAGCTTAAATTGAGCGGTTTAGGCCATTTGCAAATAATATTTACAGAGTTGAAGGCCAGCTTCTCATCCTCGGTAGAGTCAAAGGGGAGTTGCCTTTGACTTGAGTGTTATGACCCACTGTTGTTTCTCACCTCTGCTTGTGGAGGATGCAGCGTTTCTGCTTGTCCTTCAGGACATGCTTCACTGCACAGCAGGACTGCGGTCCATAGCTTTTTGCTGATGGAGCAGGACCATGGGCAACTTGTGGAAGGTTCACGATGGTCGATCCTTTTGGACCTCAACAACAGGCAGCTAAAGTACGTCTCCAAATACAAGGATGCTAACAGATGTCTAGTGCAGGGGTGAAAATCCTTGTGGTGTATGATAAAGAGCTGCCTTGACAATGTAGCATTGGCCTTTTCCACTTTCCACAGGCTTATCTTGGATGTAGTCTAGACTATGAGCTTTCTGGTACATTAGGGAGATTTTTATTGCTTGTCTGCAAAAATGTCCAGTATGGTGAGGCTTCTGTGCGCTGTGGTAACACAAGTGAAGCAGTAAGAGGTTGCTGTAGCTGCAGGGCCATATAAAGGAGATGGATGCTCGGCTGTTGTGCAGATAGGTAGATGGAGGTGTGTGCGTCTGTGCGTCTTGCTGGCTCAAACACTGGCCCAGGCAGCTGGCAGACCCTCTGAGAGCTGGTGGCCAGGCTGCGGCCCCGGTGAGTCAGGCTGGTAGGCAGATAACGTTGTCGCAGGGAAAGCAGGAAAGGTGTATCTGATAGGGCAGGCGTGGAGCGAAACAGCCTGGGAATCTTCTCTCACCCTCGAGCCCCACAGCCATCTTTAAGGCTTTGCCGCAGAAATGTTAGTGGACAGTGACCTATTCTCGTAGTTAAGAGTCAAAGGCTTTTCTTCCCCTCTGGAATCCGGGTTGTATATAAGTTATCCCACAGCATGTGCAGCAACTGATGAAACCTCAGGGAAATACCAGACCTCAGGAGAAAGTTTGCTTTTTAACTATTTTCAAATGCCAAAACCCAAATGTAAGTGCTTCTGACTAACTCCTCTGAGAATTGGAAACAGCAGGAGAGAGGGAGAAAGTTGCCAAGAATGACCTCAAAAAAACTGAACTCAAAACGGCACCTCCTTCTTGCCTTGGGACATGGGAGGATTCTGTCCAGAGCTGTGGGCTTATTCTCACTTTTGTCCATGCCGGGGTCTTTCAGTGGCACTCTTCTGGGCTCAAACACTGGTCAGAGAGACGCCTCCTGGGAGGGTGGTTCCCAGCCTCCCCGCCGTGGTTATATGCCATTAGATGCTTAGCTCCAGGCAAGCTCCGCTGTGTATATGGTGCAGAAATGGTACCATCGCCTCTGAATGACTTCAGTAGCCTGTGTTAGGGTTGTGTAGCTGATCTGTCTGTGCTCTTTTTTAAAATGCTGGCATTAAATCTATCACCATAACGCCTTCCTTGTACTCACCCAGCAAAATTACAAAAGTTATATTGAATCCCTTAGAAATAGCATTATTGGCCAGGAGGGAAATTGCAGTTTTAGGGGAAGATGCCAGAGCACAGATTGTTCTTCAATTACGCTTTTAGGACCCTTTTACTTTCAGTGTCGTTTCACAGTTTTTCTGTGACACATTCTGCATTTTATTTTGTCATGGCAGGCAGTGCGCTTAGGAGGGGATTTGACTCTTCTGACCTTGGCCATCAAAAATGCAGCATCTCCTTTAGTATCGTCATGCAGGCTGCCTCTGTAAGCCCACAAGGCATCTCTGGAACACAAGGCAACACTGGAAGAGGTTTCCTAGAGAGGTGGTAGATGCCTCAAGCCTGTCAGTCCTTAAGAGGCATTTGGACAATGCCCTTAATACCATGCTTTAACTGTTGATCAACCCTAAACTGGTCAGGCAGTTGGACCAGATGATGATAGTTGTAGGTGCCTTCCAACTGAAATGGTCTATTCCATTCCATTCCATTTGTATTTTAGAAAAGACCAAATTTCCCTGTGACATCGCCTGTCCCTCAGTTGAATCAGGACGGGGTTCAGAGCCATGGATATGGGATGCATAGAGTATTAGGGAGAGGAAGGCCAGGGAGGGGATGGGAATCTGTTTTTTGGGGTCACTGCAAACAGAGTTAGGGATGAGCTGGAGTGGGGAGATGAGCAGGGAGCAGTGCCCTGCCTCCTTTGCTGGTTTCCAGCCGTGTCCCCTCTGCTCCCAGGGGCACCCTGGCAGGGCACTGCCCCGGGGGGGGGGGGCATGGGTTCACAGCCATAGGGTGTAAGAGGGGGGAAAAAAGGCGGGGATCGGACCTCCTGCGCAGC